CGGTATCCCCCCAAATGTGCTGAGGACGTGTGTTCCAGAGTTGACACCGGTCTTAACGCGTCTTTTCCGGTAATCCTACTCACTAGGCATAATCCCAAAATCATGAAAGACGGCTTTCGTCCACCCGTCCCTAAAAAAGGCGACCGCTCAGACCCACCCAACTGCAGGCCCATCGCCATCACCTCCTTGTTCTCCAAAACAATGGAGTCAATTGTAAACTGTCAGCTCATGAGGTACCTTGAGGATCACCAGTTGATTAGGGATTGTCAATACGGTTTCCGTCGTGGTCGATCAGCTGGTGATCTTCTGGTCTACAAGTACCTTACTCATACATGGGCGAAATAAAAAATAGAGCCCAAGGTGCAGGAATGGGCCGTTAGTTTGGACATTGCGAAGGCCTTCGATCGGGTTTGGCACGAAGCGCTTCTTTCAAAGCTCCCTTCCTATGGGCTTCCTGAGAAATTGTGCAGTAAGATCACAAGCTTTCTTGCAGATCGGAGCATCAAGGTCGTTGTAGACGGTGCAAGCTCCGATTACAAGCCTATTAATGCTGGTGTTCCACAAGGCTGCGTGCCATCACCAACACTGTTTCTTCTGCATATCAATGATATGCTGCAAATCGGCAACATTCATTGCTATGCAGATGATAGCACTGGTGATGCTCTGTACACCGGCCGTGCCAATATTTCGCGGAAAAACGTCTCCGAGTACCGGGACAAACTTGTGTCTGAAGTCGAGTCTTTGAACAAAGTCTCGGTTTGGGGGCGATTAAATCTAGTCCAGTTTAACCCTCAGAAGACACAAATTAACCGCCAAAAAGAACCCCTTTGTCGTATCTCCTCAGTTTCAAGGCACTCCCCTTGTTGCCTCAGCCAGTATCGGAATTTTGTTGACATATCGAGTGACGTGCAGTTTCGTGGTCACTTGGAAGAGAAGGCCAAATTGGCTTCTAAAAAGCTTGGCGTGATAAGCAGAGCGGGACAGTATTTCATGCCGGCACACCGCCTGCAACTTTACAAGGCGCAGATTCGGCCGCACATGGAATACTGTCCCCATCTCTGGACTGGGGCTTTCCAGTGCCACTTGACCGCTTCCAGCGCAGAGCGGCTCGAATCGTCGACGACCGATTGCTTTCCGATCAGCTATATTCATTGGCGCTGCGAAGAGATGTTGCATCTCTTTGCGTATTTTATCGCATCTGTCACGGGGAATGCTCTGAGGAATTGTTCGGATTAATCTCAGCCGCCAAATTTGATGAACGCACTACGCGGCAAACCTCCCGATACCATCCTCACCATCTGGATGCTTAGCGGTCCACCACTGCACGTTTCGCAAGGAATTTTCTTCCGCGTTCGATCTCTCTGTGGAATACTTTACCACCGGCGATTTTTCCGGACCGATACGACCTGGGGACCTTCAAGAAAAGAGCTTACTCCTTTCTAAAGGGCCGGCAACGCACCTGCAATTCCCCTGGTGTTGCGGATGTTCATGAGCGGTAGTCACTTAACATCAGGTGAACCGTATGCTCGTTTGCCCCCTCTTTTATAATAAAAAAAATCATAGCCATTTCATCATGTGTAATCGCCCTTATGTATGTATGAATTTGTCAAGTTCAAACCTCAGCAGTTCACTAAGACATTTCCCTTGCAAACAGATGTTGTTAAAATAGAAACGTATAAAATAATGATAAATTTAAAGATGATTCTTGGTTTTTTTTAACTTACTGAAATAAAAATAATTAAAACCTAACTGTCCAGCTATAGTTATTCCTTGGTTATTTATTGTTATACTACGTGTACACAAACATCATAATTTATATCTAATGCTTAATATAATTATATCTTTATAATACTTATTTTATAATAATATAGTTCTATCCGATAATAATTATTAAAATTTTACCAAAGGCGGATTGCCGACAGATAGTATAAAGTAATAAAATAATATTATAGTATAAAGTAACTAATTTTTTAAAAACTTAATATTACCAGCTCTATTATTATAATACGACTATTATCCACGTAAAATCGTTTGAAAAATAAAATTAAAACTAATAATTGAACGTAGGAAGTACGACGCAAACTAAATCGAATCATAACTTATTATATGAGATTAAATCAATTAAAAAAGCCAAAGTGTGCATCGAATTTTAAAAAAACATAAGCTGTATATAATGTAAGTAGTGTATACCTAAAATAGCGATAAGTCTAAAATATAGATCTATTCTTATAAGGCAGAATGTTACCTGTTCAAAAGATTTTGAGCCATATCTTTAAAGCGAGAAAGTAGATTTTTCTATTAATCGACACTGTAACAAAACTCATAGTCAAATTGCTTGGCGATGGCATCGATTAACTCTAACAAGAAGTAGACTACCAATGGAATTGATTGGGGAATTTATTATTCACATTAAATTTACAAGCAAATGAATCATACCTAAACTAATGTGGGATAGCGAAACATTTGAAACCCTATCGCTTATATTTTTGGTCGATTTCCCAGTTTTACCTACAGAAGTTTAATAATTAGGCCATCACAACAGTGTAAGTAACGCACTCAAAAGGAAACTTGTCAGCTTTATAACAGCCCGTTGTTTTAGCTGTGTACAGTATGTGATAGATATCCCATCGCCGTGCATAACGATTGGGTGATTCTATTTAGTCGCTGTCAATGTCAAATTAATGTTCGTTCCCCTTTGATAGATTATAAATAACGGGTTGGCAGCGCGATATTATGTGGGGTTATATAATAACTTGTAAGTACTTCCGTATCGCTATGCACGGTAACTCATGATATCGACAAGTAACTGTGTTGTTGCTGGAATTCTTTCGATACATAAAATAGATGGCATGGATAAGAATTACCGAGAAATCGATGTATGTTCTAATGGCATGATACTAAACATATCACGGCTATAAGACGAACTATATTGTAATAAAGTCCTTTATCATTCTTAGAGAGTCTTTTTAAGCACATCTCAACCGTCAAAACAAAAGGATATAAAGTAACAACATATATCCCTACGGTACCTCTATTCCTCTGAACTTGTTTCTTTGTTCAGGCGATGGTTGAGACTCGCGTAGACACTTTGTGCCAGTAATGGCTAGTTTAGACGATGCGAGCTGCTGACTAGACAGTATACAGCTACTCGGCTCTTCTACTCGTACGCCAGTAGCTCGGCTCGCCTTTGCTGTCCACACGACACTAGTAGCTGCTGTACAGTCTTGCGAGTTGCCGCGATGTCGAGTGAACGTGTTATAAAAAAAGCACTGGCCAGCTACTGGCGAACGCATCTAAACGATGCGGGCGACGGCCGAGCTGCTGTCATGTACGAGTTGCAGATGAGCATCAAAAAATGTTGAGGTATCTCGGACGCGAGCTACTGTCCAACTAGCACGTGCGAGTTACTCGTAAGTGACGTCTAAAGAGTGCGAGTTACTGCAGTGCAGCTACTCGGCAGGCTGACTCGTACGCTAGCTCGCACTGTGTAAACTAGCCATAAGGTGATGTCGCTGTTCCGCACCATGCTTGTAAAAATAAGGTACAACTTGGCCAAAACAATTAGGCGCATGACAGGAATGCTGTTCCGGCGCCCGCACCCTCCCTATATCCCCGCACTTCCCCCAGTGACCAATCCTGTTCCGGCGTTGCCTCCCTAGTTCTAATGACGTCTCAGCTGTCGGTCGCCTAATTGTTTTGGTCACGTAATATTTACTGTTACGAGAGTTTTAACACATTTTTATTAGTATTTCTTTTGTTTCCCAAATTTGATTATGAGATAATTTATAACGAGACTCATTTTCCTGTTTATGTGATATTCCTTCTCGTTAACTTAAATTTACATAAAAATTGATTTTATTGTGCCTTTTTCCTAGTATGTATATGATGTCAAATTTAAAACATACTACATACTTCTTACGATTAAAAGAAAGAGAGTTGTTATCATACGAACAAATCCAACTTTTATTACATATATTTATTAAAACAACAAAAAGTGTTTATTTGTATGGTGTATATAGAGGTTGATAATGTCGATATATACAACGGTATTAAGGGCCTTCAATTAGAAAAAAAATAGGTCGCAGAGAATACTTTTGCATGTCTTTTTTTAAATAAGATGTAATACGGCAAAGTGTAACTTATATAAGACTATTGTCGCTATATTAACTTCATAAAAATTAACGACCTTACTTTATGAAACAAATAAGCAGTTTCATGTTACGACATGAAAAATGTTTTTTTTAAATATATTAACAAAAATTTTCATGTCACAACAAGCTTTAAAAAACTATCATTTTATCACTCTCTTGACGAGTACGCCATCTTAGATGACTAATAAAGATATGCATAAAAGAAATGATATATATTAAAGTTTACACTGACTATAATTAAAAAGGATTATATCGTTACTCTAAAGTTCTTATTGATTAAGTTACCTGACTTACATGACGCATACAAAAAAATCTTTCATAATCTACAATAACACACAACGTAAAACATGTTTGACAGAAATACGAAAAATAGCATAAGCAAACAAAAAGTTAGTTAAACTTTGGAACAATTAGGAATTTAATGTTTATAACGAAATCACTTTTTTATCCTATGAACCCACAAGACGGGAACAAATAATAGTGGTAAAAAATAATTATTTGAAAACAGTTATATAATATATTCCAATACTCGAAAAATCCTCAAAATAAGTTGTAAGTTATATTAATTGTGCACAATAAGTTTCGTTTTTTTTTTTTTGTTTAATTTTGACATTTATAATTTTGAATTACTTTATCCTCTGAACTAACTACTATATTTTTGGCCGTAGCTCCAAACATCGCCATAATATTTACAAACTTTAAAAAAAATCTTACAAATTAAAATATAAGAAAATCTAACTTTAGGTAGCTTCCTCATTCTTGTCCATGAAGTTCTTTAAAACCCTGATAATATACCGGATGTTGAAATCGACAATACTTCGTTACCTTTGCCATACTCCAATGTAAAATTTAAAACTGCTTTATTTCCTCCTGCTTCACGCTACCCAACTCCTTAATCATTGCCTCCAGACCTTCTGGCATTCGGCCCTGGTCTAGCTCGAGGTTCCATTTGTAGTACTGAAAGAATAATATGATGTCGTATCAAGGCTTAATATACTGTTTGCTTAATGACGACTTTTCCTGGTAGTGACATAAAATTCGGACTTATGATGTGAAAAATAACGGATTACTATTATTTAGGTGGTAGAGCCATACTTTAGCTATTTAATAATAGTACCACGGATGGGCCGGCTCGATCACGCTCTCACAGAATACCAACGTCAAATAGCAGCATACCGACGAAACTGCATTTTGATTCGTAATCGAGGATAGATGTGGATGTGTATGGGCCACAGCATCTAATTACATCAGGTGGACTGCGTTCACGTTTGTTTGCGTGCACCCTTATTCTATACAAAAAAAAAACATATTTTGCCGTGTGGTGACTACGTAACAATGTCCACCACTTCATTTTGTAAAAAGCGATTATGGGAAATGCCAGAAAATACCTTATGGCTACCGATAAATAGAAGAGTCGTGGTAGCTCAGATGGTTAGAGCTCGCTGGAAATTTCACAGTACACGAGCAAACCGGGTTCGATCCCCGCCAGCACCAATGAAATTGTTAAATGCAATTTTAAATGCTGATTTACCACGTAGTCGGCGTTGAAGCAAAACATCGCGAGGAAACCCGCATGTCTGAGAAATAAGTGAAAAAATATTTCGAAGACATGTGAAGTTCGCCAACACGCATTGGGGCAGCGCGGTGGACAATTCCTTGCCCTAAAATCCTCTGAGAAATGAGTGGTGGCCTGTAACCAGGAGTGGCACGTATATAGGCTGTAACTTTAACTTTACCGATAGATATAATCATCTCGGTATAATCACCTCGTTTACGTCAGACGTAAAACAATCCGACCGGCGCGGCGTTGTGTAACATCGTTACAGCTGTGAACGTCTGGTACTCACCAAGGGTGACGATTAAGGCAAATCCTCCCTAACGGCAACTAACAATGGATGAGTGTTGGGTAGTTGTTAATATGAAAAAATGCGGTATGGAAAACATATTTCTTTTTCATCATGTATCCTCAGAGCAACAAAGACAGAAGATAGACGGAGCGCTGCGTACATTACAAGCAATGCCGAAAACATGCTCACATCTATCTCGTTTCTTTCTTTTAGAACCACTCAACCACATCCAGTGCATAGCGGTTCGAATAGTCGACGACCGAGTTCTTTCTGATCGGCTCGATTCGCTGGCGCTGCGTAGGGATGTTGCATCGCTTTATTAATAATTCCAGCTGCCAAAATTCACGAACGCACATCGCGTCAAAATTCACAATACCAACTTGTTTTACTACGTGTTTTGTTCCTCGTATAACTTCTCTGTGGAATTATTTACCAATTTCTCTAAGGAACAGGAAACGCGTTTTTATAATTTACAAAGTACAATTGTAGACCTCAAAGAGCAAAATTATGAGTTAAAACGAAGTGTGGAGCATATGTCTAACAAATATGACGATTTACTTACAATAATTGCTAATTTGGAAAAAGAAAGGAAAGAGGACAAACGGCGCATGGCTTTAATGGAGGATAGATTGGAAACTATGGAGCGTAAAATGCGTGCATCGGGGATTGAAGTACGAAATATTCCTAAATCAACGGGTGAAACAAAAGATTTTTTGTTTAACATTATTAAAAAGACCGGAAAGGCCGTTAATATTAGTATAGAAGACTCCGAATTGAAAGATATATATAGATTGAACTCCAAGGACAGTTCTGGTCCGATTATAGTGGAACTAAGCTCCGTTATCAGCAAGGAAAAAATACTTAGAGCGGTAAAAAGTTTTAATAAAAACAAACCGAGAGACGAGAAATTAAATACTTCTCACCTACAACTGCAACAACCAAAGAAACCAGTGTTTATATCAGAAACTTTAACTCAAAAGACTCAAAAAATATTTCAACTCGCAAGAGCATTCAAAAAGGCACACAGTTTTATGTACTGCTGGACTCTGAACGGAACTGTTTACCTACGCAAAGATGAAAAATCCAGCCAGATACGAATTAACAGTGAAGCCGATCTCGAAAATTTAAGGAAGACTCAATGACTAGAATTATCATTTATTTTTATTATTTATTTAAAATTTTACTGTTATTTAATATTTCCTTTATGTTACTTTATCATAGTACTAGCGGTTTACATTACACAAATACACTATAACACTTCATACATATTTTTACACTACAAAAATTATTTTTTTAACAAAAAATCCTCACGGAATTACCGTAAGAATGCTATGTTGTATAAAACAAAATTTGATATTTTGTTAACATTATTGCTTTCTTTTTTCTTCTATTTCGTGCCGTATACGGAAATAATTAAGAATAAATTCATTAATTTAATTTTAAACATATATTTTGTTAATAGTTTTAATTTATTTAATAGGTACAATTTATCATGCCTTCTATGCCTTCTAAATTACAAAAAAGTAATAGAACTTATCGGAGTCCATATTAATCACATTATTCTCTATGTTCAGAGCCAGATTAGGATGCAACAACTGTTGCAGAAATATTTTTTTTATTAAGCAAAACCAAATAACTTATATAAAAAGATGGCTATCAACGTAGAAAATTTAACAATCGATATTGATAACATCTCTGTGGCAAAATCATACAACTGTAGCACAGAACACTGTAATAATATTATTCAGAATGTCAGTTTTTCTAAATCTATAAATGTTTTAACTCAGAATATACGAAGCGTTTATAAAAACATAGATGGGTTAATAGCACAATTGGAAAGATTTACTTTTGAATGTGATATTCTAATTCTAACGGAATGCTGGTTAAGTAGTCACAAACCTCCTCCACTTATTGATAATTACACGTGTTATTTTTCTAAAAAAACCTTAAACCAAAATGACGGTATAATTATTTATGTAAAATCTGGAATAGATTGTATTGTGGAGGAGCCAGATTCGATTGGTGGTAACTTCCTTTTGCTAAAGACGGAACCAAATATTGCAATATTAGCCACATACAGATCGCCATCGTTTTATAGTATTGACAGCTTTTTAAACACAGTTGAACATGTTCTTCAACCCATTAAGGCAAAAAATATATATCTTTTAGGTGATGTCAACATTGACATTAAACCTAACAATGCCGATAAAAATAGCTTATCTTATTTAAATCTTATGGCAGAACTAGGTCTTCTACCAGGACATACTTATCCAACGAGAGTCAATAATTGTTTGGATCATGTCATGATTAAAACCTATTTGCCTGCCACAGTAGTTGTTCTGAATTCAACTGTTACTGACCATAGTTCTGTGCTTCTAAACCTTTCTTTTAATAACGACTATACTCATAAAGTATGCTATAATACAAAAATTGATTACAATGAAGTTATTAAAAATCTGTCTACAATTGACTTTTCTTTTATAAACACCAACTGCAATGCAGATAACGCTGCCTCACAATTAGTTGAAAAAATATCTTCGATAGTAAAATTTTGTACTCAAGAAAAAGTGTTTACTAGGCGGCAAAGAATTCTTAAGCCATGGGTTACACCCGGAGTTCTACGGTGCATTCGCCATAGAGATAAATTGCATAAAAACCTTAAAAAGGACCCCGATAATAACATTTTGGTAGTTTCGTATAAGCGATATAGAAGTTTTTGTAATTCTCTCCTAAGAAGGCTTAAATTTGAATATGAAAGATCTCTTCTTAAAAAGGCAAAAGATAATAAACAAAAATGGAAAGCTATTAAAATTATTACAAATCAAAATACTATTAATGCACCAGCAAAAGAGTTGCTGAATAATATAGATAATAAGTCTTGTACAATTGAGAGTATAAATGATTTTTTCTCAAACGTTGGTAAAAATTTGGCAAACAAAATAAGTCAAGACAAAACCGAAAACTATCGGTACAACTTCAATTTACCTTGTGTTGTCAATTCTTGCGTTCTCATTCCACCCGACGAAGCGGAAATAGAGTCTATTATTATCAACCTTAAAAATGACTGCGCTGTAGGCTGGGACTTTATCTCTAGCAAACTTTTAAAGCTTGCTAGATATATTCTTGTTCCGCCTTTAACTAAATTATTTAATATCTGTCTAGATCAGGGTATATTTCCAAAAGTTTTTAAAAAATCCATTATAACTCCAGTACACAAGAGTGGTTCAAAAGATAATATAAATAATTACCGGCCTATATCTGTATTGCCTGCTCTCTCAAAAATTTTGGAAAAAGTTTTAAATACTCGGTTGATGAATTTTTTAGAAAAGAATAATATTCTGTCACGTCATCAATATGGTTTCAGGTCGGGAAAAAGTACAGAAAATGCTGTTAGTGACTTGGTTGATTACGTTACCACTAAGCTAGATAATAAGCAAAAATGTATTGGTGTTTTTCTAGATCTAGCCAAGGCATTTGACACTGTTTCGATTCCCTCTCTCCTTGACAAACTAGAGAGAGTAGGAATTCGTGGTGTAGCGCATTCCATTTTTAAGGACTTTCTTTGTGATCGTGTGCAGTGTGTTAAGATCGATCGAATAGTAAGTTCTTATGACGCAGTTACATATGGTGTTCCACAAGGAAGCATACTTGGCCCAAGTCTCTTCTTGGTTTACATTAATGATCTTTGCCAACAGCCATTATATAATGGACAAATATTTACGTACGCTGATGATACGGCGCTGGTATTTTATGGAGAGACTTGGGATGAGGCTTGTAAAAATGCAGAAGTTGGAATACACAAGGTAAACTGCTGGCTAAGATTGAATTTACTTACTCTAAACCTGTCAAAAACAACTTTTATCCAGTTTAATATCAAGGAAAACCACACTGAAAATATATCAATCAAGCTACATTGCTGTAAATTACTGAAAGATCGACAATGTTCATGCCATATGCTCCATAAATCTGATAATGTCAAATACCTAGGCGTTATTTTAGATTGTAAAATAAACTGGCTTAGTCATATAGATCTACAAACCTCTAGAGTAAGGAAGCTAATTTGGGCGTTTAAACATCTAAGGTATGTGGCTGATTTTGATACACTTCGCGTAGTATATTACGCGCTTGCTCAGTCAGTAATAAACTATTGTATTAGAGTTTGGGGTGGTGCATACAAAACCCACATTTTGCGACTTGAAAGAGCCCAAAGGTCGTTGCTTAAAACGATGACTTTTAAGACGTTTAGATTCCCAACTAGAACACTCTATAGTGATTGTCAAGTTCTTACTGTTCGGCAGTTATACATTTTACAACTTATAAGCAGACAACATCTTGCTACTGCATACGACAAAGACAAAATAAAAGGAAAACGTACAATAGTTAATGTCTTGACTCCAACCGCTTTCCGCACGTCCTTTGCCAGGCGCCAACATGGTTATCTTAGTGTACATTTGTATAACAAAATAAACAAAATTCTTGACTTTTATCCACTTCCACTTTACAAATTTAAAAAGAAGGTAGAAAAATGGCTTTTATCATTAAATTATGAAGAAACGGAGGACTTGTTTAATGTTATAATGTAATCCGCTTGATGAATCCCGTTATTTTTCATTTTATTTATAAGTACATATAAAACACATGCATACACAAACGCAAAAAATACGCTTGCTGACACACACACGCACACGCACATGTACACACCCACACATACACACACACACACACACACACACACACACACACACACACACACACACACACACACACACACACACACACACACACACACACACACACACACACACACACACACACACACACATACACACACACACACACACACGTACACATGAACCCTAACACACTCAACACACAGATAGTACGTAAATTAAGTAGTAAATAATTTTTATACCTTTTGAAACATTCTTGTTATTTTGAACCTTTATTGTTAATTTATTAGGTCATAAAATTGGGAGAGGGCGCTGATTGCTGAGATACAGGTATAATTCCTAGTTCAGCAATCAGAGACTTCATATATTCACTGTATAATTATCAATAAAAGCTTATTATTATTTATCACAGGCGATTTTTCCGGACTGATACGACTTAGGGACCTTCAAGACAAGAGCTTACTCCTCTCTAAAAGGCCGGCAGTGCACCTGCGATTTCCCTATTGTTGCAGTTAGTCACTAACCTTCAGGTGAGCCGCATCCTCGTTAGCCCCCTCCTTTATTAAAAAAATATCATAATAGTCCACCACTGCACACTAAGGCGCATAAATGTGGGTGCCATAATGTTTGCAAATTAAATTATTTTGATGCATATTTAAGCGTAAGTGTGTGTTTTTACAATAAGTCGAGCAGTTTTTGCTCTGTTACGGTGTCTTTTTATTAAATGTACATAGTGCTTCGACTTTATTACTTTATTTGTTCGTCCGGGCTCGTAACAAATACATGCCAATTTTTAGCGAAGCTACAGTTAAGAAGTAAGTGGTAAAGCCGTGCTGCAACTATATTATAGTTGTAGCACGAATGGGTCGGCTTGACCGGGGAGGGACCACGCTCTCACAGAATACCAGCGTAAAATATTACGCAGCTTAAAGCTGCTGTGTTTCATATGGTAAGTGTAGAGAACCAGATACCCTTTTTACTGGAAACAAAGCACGATAACTGAAACTGTGCCACGTCTATTAATAAAATGTAGCATCTACACTTTATAGAGGTTCCCGAAATCCCGCATGCCAGTACGAGACTATAGGATTTAATTATACTTAGTGCTTACTTTATCGAGCTCCTTCCTAAGCGTGATGACGGCGCGCTCCCTGTCGGCCACCAGCTCCTCGAGGTACTGATACCGGAGTTTCTTCCGAGCACGGCATTCCCGCGCTGATTGTCTGCTGCGCTCTGAAATCATCGCAATAACATTATATATATATATATATATATATATATATATATATATATATATATATATATATATATATATATATATTATAACTATTAGTAACATAAGAGAGTGGTGCAGCGGTGTTATTTTGTATGTTTTTTTTTTTCTTAAAAATCTTATATTCAAAAATAAATTTTGTTAAAATCCACTTGAATCCTTATTGCCCCTTTTACTTCTTATTTCCTGTAGAAATAAGGTTAGCCCAGTATCGTCACGCTTTGCGGTCGGATCTGCGAACGCAAAGCGCAAATTTCGCAACTTTGACGAAGCTTCCAGTCGCCGGTTTGAGTATTTTGAAATTTTAGATCTGGTATAAACGAAATGATCTAATTTATAGTATACTATATGGTTACATTGGCCTCCGATAATAGATTGGCTTAAACGGTGGCCATAATATCATTCTACTTGTTCCCATAATACCCCCCCCCCCCCCCGCTCCTCTTAGCCGACGCGACGGGATGAAATGACGTGATAGATATCATTAATATACATAAGATATCAACACACAAGAGAGTTACTTGTTTGTGTTAATAACGTAAAACAAAAAAAAAACAATGAGGGAGACTAAAAACAAATACCAAACAAAAAGAAAACCTAAAGCCTATTTAAGTGAAATTGTAGACCAGTCATTAAAAATCTTAGTTATTGTACGAATTGATATCCAGACCTATTCGCAACTACACATCAGACGAAAAACGCAGGGTTTTTTTTAAAGTAAGGATGACAAGCGAACAAACAGTCCAACTGATGATAAGTGGATGGCTCTGGCCTTTATACATCAACACATATATATATATATATAATATATATATATATATATATATATATTTTATATATATATAAGCTTGCTTGAATTTTCTCCTTTTTAATGCGTTTATTAAAAATCCTTCAATTCGCAAAAAAAAATTGTGGGTCACTCATGGACAAAAAAACTATCCTATCTCTCAAGTTGGACGAAACAGCAGCACACGGTGTACAAATTTGATTAAAATCGGTTGAGTAGTTTAGGAGTCCATCGCGGACAAACAACGTGACACGTAAGTTATATATATTAAGATATATATAGATATATATATATATATATATATATATATATATATATATATATATATATATATATCTGTACGACACCTACGGGAACATATGATTTAGTGGAAATTCTTACACCGCCACTACACGGTACGTACATATCCTTAGTTAAAAATACAGATGCCTTCTCGCCCCTGAGGATTAAAAGGCCTTTAAACAGTGAAGAGTCTCCAATTGCCGTCACTTAAATACAAATTCAACAGAATTACGCTGCTATTTCACGCTGCTAGTACTCTATGAGGGCGCGGTCCTTCCGAGCCTGGAGCCGACTCTCCCGGAGCGAATCTCTGAAATCATTATGTAGCTTTCATATTGCAAACGTATAAAAACGTAAAGGGTACCAATATATAATTCAAATATAATGGTTAAACTAGAAAAGCATAGGGAATCTTAAAAAGTAGCCTAATATGACGCAGCTATGGTATCCTAGTATAACGCAGTTAAAATGAATGCACCGGCGAGCTTCCATACAAGCGCAATTGAATATCGATCTGTCAGAACGTCTGCGCAGAGGGAAGGTGCTATGTTATAGATTTATGCAGGTGAGCGACAAGGTAAAAAGTTACGTTGATAAAAGTAACAAACGATAAGCTACATATAATACACATCATCATCATTATCATCACCATCATCATTACATACGTGTATATTTAGTTATAACAGAGCGGAATCAACTGCTACCGGCAATATTTGCTCAAAAGGAGACTCTGGCCACTAATGATTGTTTTATTGAAAAGCCAATTTTTTTTAATTGAAATAAACTTATATTATTCGTATTTATTTATTTATTTATTACAGCCCAATTTATACGAATATATCATCAAAACAAAAATATAGAGAATTCCGAAAAAATTGATCGTCATAAAACGAATGTTAATAACTTTTGTGATCTAAACATAAAAATATCTAGTGTCGGTGTGTTACTTAGCATAACAAAAACCATTTGAAAGCATAAAAAAATACGAATGTTCAGCTCGTAAACGTTTTTTTCATTGGTTGTTTCTTACATGACTCCAATATTAAAAAATTGTTTGTCCGTCTATACTGAAGGCTTTCTTTCACTCTAAAACCAATCTATTGACATAATTTTTACACAGGTTGCACATATTAAACTTTGGTCAGCAATGGTATATTTTTCAAGCGATTCCAAATTTAAAAATGAAAAAAATGAAAATGAAAAATCTTTATTCAGTATCTTTTACATAGTAACATGACTTATGGCCGGAATCTCCTTTTAGGTATGATACTTGTGTTAGTAGACAAAGATTACAAAAAGATACATTGAGTTATAGAAAATGAACTTATGACGAAAAAAGATCTAGAGTTAATGTTCTTTACCTTTGTATATTGTAATAATAAAGAAATATAAAAATATTTTAAAAATCAATAAACACCATATACGTATATGTATGTGTGCGTATTGCATAATGGGTGTGAACTAGACATTTATTGCACCATATTTTCGTTTGAACCACTAGTTTGTACCTGCCTTTCGTTCTCATAAGGTTGACTGATGGAGAATGCCATATAATGCCATAGATACATAATAAATAAATAAAATAAATAATATATATATATATATATATATATATATATATATATATATATTTTTTATTTCAAAAGCTATATTAAGTAATATAAAAAAATCGTTACCTGTCCTCTATGACAATTTGCCTCAAAACGACTTCACTCATTACCAAAAAAAAAACAATAAATTTTAGAAATAAATGTAATTAATAAAGTAACAAACAAATTATAATATATCAGGAATCAACTTTAATCTGGGGCTTGCATGGTTATATTCGGAGCTACGGCACTCGAAAACACGGCCATCTTGGCAGATGGAATATTTTGAACTAATAATAACAAGCCATTATAGATTTCTGCTAAATTCGAAGCGAAATGCGCATGTCCACAGACATGCGTTCTATCCAATGTTCGCTAACATTAGGGCTGCCATCCGTCCGGGTTTCCCGAGATTTGTCCTAGTTTGGAAGACGTCCGGGGAGTGTCCGGGCGGGGTTTAAATTGTAGTCGGAGAAGGACCACGCTCTCACAAAATAAAATAACAGCTTATTTTTTAATATAGAATAAGGGTGACAAACGAGCACACAGTCCATCTGATGGTAAGTGGATGCTGTGGCCCATAGACATCTATATTTATTCTCGACTAAGAATCAAAATGCAGATGCGTTGTCACCCCTGAGGACTAAGATGGTATGCTTCGTTCCCAGTAAAAAAGATCTCCGGACCTCTACACTCACCATACGAAACACAGCAGTATTAAGCTGCTATTTTACGCTGGTATTCTGTGAGAGCGTGGTCCTTTCCCGGTCGAGCCGACCCATTCGTGCTACAACCATATAGCTGCAGCGTGGCTTTACCACGTATGTAGCAGCTTAATGCTGCTGTATTTCGTATGGTGAGTGTTCAGATTCGGAGACCGTTTTTACTGGAAACGAGGCATTCCGTGTTAATCCTGATGGGTGACAACGCATCTACATTTGATTCTTAATCAAATATGTAGATATCTATGGGCCACAACATCCACTTACCACCATCACCATTAGCTGGGCAATGTGCTCGTTTGTCATCCATATTCTATAAAAAAAACACTCCACTGTTTAACAAAGGAGACCTCAATCTTCTAACCTTACTCCAAACTAATTTTCTCCGTTTACTTTCCATTCTGACGGTCCTGAGGACTAAGATGAAATAACTCTTTTCAAGTAGAAAAGGGTTTCCAGTTCTCTACACTCCCCATGCGAAACATAGCAGCATTTAGCTGCTGTTTTACGCTGTTATTCGTGGCACAACCACAGAATAAATAATAGCTATAACCAAATTATAGCTGCAGCGTTGGTCTACCACCTAAAACGTATATATCATTGTGTAACTTTCCAATACTGTGCATGGAAATAAAAAATAAAATTAATAACTTAATTTTTCTTTATTTTTAAATATGTATATCAAAAAACATGATTTGATTTCTTTTGCCGTTTGCGTGTGGAGGCTGCTTGAGCGATACTATCACCCCATTGTATTTCGTGAGTGTCGTAACAAGTGACTATGGGAAAGGCCAGAGATCTCTTCTATTTAGTACATAACAGATATGAATACAGGGGTCAATATAAAACATTTTCGTACTCAGTGTACCTACACCTATCCCTACACCTGCAGAAAAAAACCAGGCCATGCTCCCAATCCCCGCGCATGTCCATATGCATAAATGCATTCTAGAGCATTCTCAGTTCTCCTATCGAACCGTGGGATGCGATGCAAGGACACTAACGACACATGCGTAGAAGCTCGCACGAATACAAAGGAACCTGGACGCATGCGCACCGAGCTTAACTTAAAATAGGTACAGCCTGACCCGGATTTTTCCTATTAATTTTACGAAAGGTATGCATTGTGATTATAGTTGACCTAGACCAGTCCTAGACCAGTCATACTCAAGAATAGAGACATATTCAAGAATTTTAGGAAAGAAAAATATTCACAAAATATTCTCAAGAACAAAGGCAACAAGCCGTGTCTTTTTTTGTTAGAAGCTTTGATCAACAATATCAACTAGATGTCGGGTCGGCGCAAGAAATCCATCTTAGTAAATAAGAGCGCACATGAGGTGATGCATGTGAGATGTATGTAGCTCGTATAGGCAATAACGGGAAAAAGAACTTTATTGGTTATATCTTAAGGTTGATTTCAAACTAAATGTTATTTAATTTATGTCTTTTCATAGTTTATATTCATGCGGACAGTATTTAGCTATGATTTTGTACGTGACCCGTTATGGGTCCGTTATCTAGTTGGTATTGTTGATCGAAGGTTAGAAGGATAACAATTTACGCAGCGACAGTGCTCT